GACAGGACAAACTCGGGTCGGCTCCCAACGCCCCATGGTGTTGAACGCGAAAATGATAATAATAATAATAATAATAATAAAAGAGGGTACCCACCAGGTCCCAATCTCAGGAGCCTTCAAAATAGCGAGTCATCCTGTCAAATGATTAAGGAAAGAAGCAGGAGAAAAAGACGGAAAAAGTGAAAGAAAGAAAACAAAAAACAAAGAGAAATGAAACGTACACGTGGTTCGGCTGTAGAATCACTCCGTCGGTTAATCACTCGCAGTCGAAGACCGGAGTCGGGTAATGGCACAGGGGTACTGCCTTCCTAACTGCAAACAGCACTCATGCACCCAGGCACCCCTCACACAGTGCACTCATCTACACACCGAAATCCTGTTCGCGGCGGCCGTCATGCAGCCCTGGGGTAACTTGTCGGTCCAGTGCCAAGTAAGCTGCGAATAAGGTTCTGGTAAGTTGAGGTTGGAGACCCAATCCATTCCCCCTATCTACTTAATGCACTGCTTTCTTTACTCTTTCACCCCGACCGCTGGAAGAATGATTGCATGGTTTGGTTGTGCGTGGTGGATGTCTAAAACGGTTTTGTAACGGTGGGCGCCATTGGAACACTGTGAAGCGTGTGGTGGCAAGAGCCTTTGTGAACCCTATTTGTGTGGTCTTGACCATTGGTTACGTACGAGCGGCAAAAAGTACAGTTGAACAGCTAAATTTCTAACCGTCTCTTGTTTCAGACACAACCGGATACCGAGTAACAGATAACTACTCCGAGGACCTTCGTCTGTCACTGAACAATAAACCCACTACCAGAACTCAGGCTACTCGAAAACTTCGGTTCCCAAGCCCGTGAATCCCCGTAAATCCCCCTGAATAAGACCGAGACCTCTGCGTCCTGGAAAATTGGATTGACCTGACCAGGACAATGGCCGAAACAGACCCATCGAAAAACGGGGTCACAGCTCGGGCGATACGTCCGAGACAAAAGCAAGAGTAGGGGGCTCAAAATACCCATTTCCGGAAAAGTTAGTTATGCTATGCGCGAATGCGTGCAACATCCTGAATAAGTTGGCAGAGCTAGGGGTCACATCTGAAGAACTCAAAGCTGAGGGGATTGCTGTCTATGAAACATGGTTAAGTGAAAGCGACCATATTATTATTATTATTATTATTACCACAGACCATCGCAAACAGCTTTGAGATCCACAGACAGGATCGATGGGGGCAATTGCAAGTTGGAGGAGTAGCGCTTCTTATTCGCAAAGAAACTCCCCACAGGAAATTGGACAAAGAAGTCTGCACACCCAATATACAGATGTGTGCTATCTCACTCCCCTCTAGGACAAACAGTGCTACCATAGCCAATGTGTACAGGAGTCTGGGAGCCGCCATAGACGAAGATAAGCAACTAATCAGGGCGCTGGATGCATTAGCACAGTCCCAACAGAAACTGGTAATTGCTGTGGACTTCAACCTAACTGGCATCCCGTGGACCACAGAGACCTACTCAGAGAGTACACCAGAGGAAGTGTTTCTGGGTAGGATACACGACAAAGCCCTCCTGCAATACGTAAGGGAAAATACAAGATACAGGACGGAGCAAAATCCATCACTCCTAGATTTGGTGTTTACTAAATACCAAAGGGACGTAGATCTCTCGTTTCATCCACCTATGGGAAAGAGTGATCATCTAGTGATAAAGTGCCCCTCATTTGTAGGGAGACCAAAGCGCCCAGCCGGAAAGCTAGAAACTTCATCAAAATGGACACGCTGGGCCTGCAGGCAAGAGCCTTAACTCTAGAATGGGAAACAGAAAATGAGCAGATCACAGTAGAGGCTCTTTGGCATAGAATCAAAATTAACCTACAGGAACTCTAAGACGAGTTCGCTTCCCTCAAATTTGGGAAAGGTTGTAATAAGCCTCCATGGTGATCTCCGGCAATAAGGAGAGCACTAAGGAAAAGAAAAAGAAACTGGAAACAATACAGAGAGGTTAACACCCAGCTGGCATGGAAAAATTACACGGTCCAGAGGAAAAGGGCAGTCGGTCTTATAAGAGTAGAAAAGAGAAAATATGAACTAAAGTTAGCGGAAAACGTTAAGCAGAAAACGAAAAGGTTTTTCAGATACGTGCAATTGAAACGCAACTTGAGGGACGCCATAGGCGCCTTGGTTCTGGAAAACAACACGGTGGCAGCAGACGACCACAGCAAGGCAGTTGCACTAGGCAACTATTTCGCGAGGGTTCATAGGTTAGACAACCGGATATTGGAACCCAGATGCCAAACCTCTCTTCCACCGAGCATAAGAGAGATATCTACAGTGGAGGTACAAAAGGTGTTAGGGGAGTTGGACATAAATGAGACCCCGGGTCCTGATGGTGTATATCCTGCCATTGTGAAACCACTTGCTCAAATCTTAGCAAAACCCATGAGGGTGCTGTTTCAAAGTCTCTGGAAGAGGGAGTGCTTCCGATTGACTGGAAAACTGCCGTTGTAGTGGCATTACACAAAGGTGGTAATAGATCTGACCCTCAATACTTCAGACCGGTTAGCTCAACTAGTATTCTATGCAAGTGCGTGGAAAAGCAAATCAGGACCCATGTCTGCGCCCACCTTTCAGAGTATGCATTACTTGGCGTGGCCCAGCATGGTTTAATGAAAAGCAGGTCGTGCCTGACAAACCTCTTATGCTACCGAGACGAAGTCACTGAGAGGGTAGACGAAGACAGAACAGTAGAAGTATGTTACCCAGATTTCAGTAAGGCGTTCGATTCCGTCAGTCATAGATTGCTTCTACATAAGCTAAGACTTTTCGGAATCACAAGAGCAGTATATAAATGGATGGTAGCATTCTTGACCAATGGGATATTCTGCGTCAGGGTATGAGAACAAACTTACCAAGTCCTACATGTCACTAGTGGCGTGCCACAAGGGTCGGTGTTAGGCCCGCCTCTATTTCTGTTGTTCATAAATGATCTAGCAGAAATTACCAGCTCACCTTGCTTCATCTTCGCTGATGATGTAAAGGTGGTTGGATCTAGTGGAAGAGCCGACTTAAAAGAGGATATTGCAGAGGTGGTTAAGTGGTCCCTCACACGGGATTTACCACTAAAGAGTCAGTTGCTTCCTAGAACTAGGGAACCATTGAAGGCTGTCGGGGACTGGTGGCAATTCAAAGTGGGCACTGTAACCAGTGCCAGGGATCTAGGAGTCATTCTAACTGCAGATTACAGTTAGAGTACTCAATGTGAAACTGCAGCACACATGGCTAGACGACAGCTGTTTCGACTAAGGTCATCAGTCTCTTGTAGGAAAGCAGACGTATTTATACCCATACACAAAGCCATCGTAAGGCCTCACCTAGAATTTTGTGTTCAGACTTGGTCACCCTTCTACAAAAAGGACGCAGCCTGTCTGGAGAAGGACCGGCGAATAGTAACACGGATGGTTGACGGTATGAGGGGAAAAACATTGGATGGGAGGTTGTACGCGCTCGGTCATTTTTCACTAGAAAAGAGGAGATTGCGCGGAGACCTCATTGAAGTATTTCAGATTAAAAAAAGATGGCTGGATTTAGATCCGGGGCCTCTCTTCACTGAGGCTCCCCACCAGGGAACACGTGGTCATGAGCTTGAACTTATGAAACAGCTTTCTAGGCTGAGCCTAAGAGCACATTTCTTTAGTAATAGGGTAGTGGATAACTGGAACTGATTAAGCAGCCAAAACGTCCGAGCCTTTCAAAGAGCTCTGGACGTCAGATGGTTGGTGGTTTTCTCTGACATAGAATGTTAGGTGCATAAATTGTTTTTGGGCAATATGGAACGCTTTTACAGTGAAAGTCTCTCGCAGACACGGCGAGAAGTAAAGTCTCTCTTTCTCTCTGTTCGCAGATAGAAAGAGAAATCGATCAATCGCAGAGGTGGTCGCACACTCGTGAGCACACCACCGTAAGAATTTTGGACGCTTGATTGGCCTGTGGCCACTACCAGCCTAGTGCAACCTGACCTAAGCTGACCTGACCTGGATTGAATTGGAAATTTGCCTAAGCGTGTGTTAAGTGTATTTGCTGCGACCTCTTAAAAGGCCGCAATACATATACAGTCTTAGTTCTTCGTATCTGTTCCTACAGTGTACATATAGCGTTTTTCAAGTTTTCCAGGTGCTATAACCCGTTTTGTGTTACATTTTTATCGTTCGTTTTTACATGCTTCGAGCAGCGTTTCCATGCCTGAGTGTTACTTGTGGGAAGCGCGTCGTAAAAGGTATAGAATGCAATGTGTGCCACAAGTGGGCGCATGACAAATGCTCTGGCCTAAAGCCAGAACATTGCGCATTCCATTTTCAATGCGCATGGTTATAATGGGTTTGTCTCGATTGCTTTCGAACAGCCGAAAATGCGCTAGTTACGGCACGAGCAGAAGTAGTCTCAGCACAACACACAACAGTAGCAGTGCAGGGTAATGCATCTGTCGCGTGAGACAGAGCGAGGACGTACATCGACGTTTCAGCCGCGAAAAAAGGAAACACGAATGTAGGTACTCTGGCTTTGGTTAAGAGTGTTGGTCTGAAAACGCCAAACTCGGGAAAAAGCAAGTTGAATTCAAAAGGGGACGGTGCGTTAGCTGCCTTCACTCCCAATCACGAACTACATATACCACAACCCAGAGAAATGATTTCAAAGCTGAAATCAAAAAATCTTGTGGCTAGCGATATGAGGCCTATCTACAAGATGGAAGGCCTCACTAATTGCCCCACTTCTAGCTACCAGGAGCTAGAAAACACGGTAAGGACAAGTTAATAACATGGAAAGGGGTGCCGTCCGTAGACTCCTGATTATAAATCGCGAAGACCCTCTTATTAGGGAGTCTAAGGCCCGAAGGGACATGGATAGACGGCGAGTGTTTGACGTACTGCGAATAGCAGGGGTCCCACTCCCCGTGTCTCGTAAGCGGGTCCACCTAGTTCGTGTATGGAAACCCCAGGTCGCGAAATCCGGGACGCCAATGGCGCGGCCAATCTTAATCGAGTTTTATAGCGAGGCCGTCAGGGATAAATTGCTAGCCAAGGCAGAAGCAATAGCCCAGATAACGAAGGACAAGTATGACATCAGGCCGGATGATGTATCGAGAACTATGCCCAGAAAACCCAGACCAGGAAACGAAGTTGGTCCCCTAGGTCGTACAAACAGCGATGCTCAACGCAGGAAGATTTGTCTTCCTCGACAGATTCCTCAACCCGTGGAGCGACAACCGGTCACGACCGCTCCGGCGGGAGTAGTTGTTATAGAAGACTTACTGGAGGGCAATACCTGGGTAAGCTGCGACCAACCAGACGACGACCTGGTTGGAAACAACAGCAATGAATTGAGGGGTATAGTTCTCGCTACACTCATTAGAGGAGACTTAGACTTCACAATCCGTCGGAGATCCCAGTCAACACCGCCTTTGACTGCAAAAAACTCCGCATCACCTCGGTTTTAGTGCCCGAGGCACCGAGATACCTAAGCGTTATAGGAAACAAAGGACGGAGAACGGAAGAATTGGTGGTATAGACTAATGCATGCAGCAAATTGATGGAACTCTTTAAAGTGGCCGGTGAATGAGGCGCAGGGATAGTTGTGGTCACCGAAACTTGGTTATCTAGGAATCACCACGTACCCCGAGTGTTTCAAGAGCGCTATGCAATTTACAGACAGGGCAGAAAGCACGACTGCCTGGGAGGGGAAGTAGCCATCTTCATAAAGGAGGATCAGGGTATGCACCAGGCATCTTCAATTATGCACTGTCACACTGATCCGTCCGAGGAGTAAGGTAAACATGATATGCATCTACGGGTCCCCTAGTTCAAGTCGTGAAGAGGACATTAACCCCCTTCGCGTCCTTACAGACCTGGTGAAAGAACCCTGCAAGACTCCGATAGTGGGTGATGTCAACATGCCAAATATTGATTGGGAGCTTTAAACCAGCCTATCAGGAACACAGGACGAGGCATCCCTGGAGCGGCTCCATGCAAAGGCAATGAGGCAAAACTTAAAAGAAACACCAGGTACAGGACGGGCTGCCTCACCTCACTACTAGATCTGGTGATTACGAAGCACCCTACGGATGTCATAGAATTGAAGCTACTGCCGCCGTCAAGTAAGAGTGATGATGTATGCATGAACTTACGTTCTGCATGCATCATCCGAAATCTACCACTAAATTGGCTAAAAACTTTGTAACCATGAACGTAGATCTTCTCCGTAGCAGAGCGGCACAACTAACCTGGGAAGACGAAGTAACCAGCATCGAAGGGCCATGGTGAGTAATTAGGCAATCGCTGCACATACTCCAAGAAGGATTAGCGCCGCTGAAACCCAGACGACACCTAACCAAACCGACCTGGTGGCGAGCGGCGAAAGACAAGACCATCAAGCGTAGAAACCGAAGTTGGCGCTTGTACAAAATTTCTGGGGGAAGCCTAGCTTGGACACGCTACACAGACCTCAGGAACGCAGCGATCGACGTGGTGCAAACAGAGGAACGCAACTGTCAGATTAGGTTGGCCTAATGCGCCATGCATCAGCGTAAGTAATATTACGGGTATATGCAATCCACAGGAACATACAAGGATGGCGTGGGGACGCTGAAGAGAAGGGGAAAGCCTCCAGTGCAGATGGCAACAGCAAGGCGGACACACTGAGTGTCTAATTTGGCAGTGTTCATCGT